ACACACACACACACACACACACACACACACACACACACACACACACACACACACACACACACACACATCCTTATTCTAATAAATTAGTCCTCATATGAATAGAGGAAAAAGAAAGCATAAATGTTTGCAGCTGCCACACTGGTGCTGTGCAGTGTTCAGAACTACGTGGCTGTTTTCCCCCGCAGTGTGAATTCAGCAGGCAAAAAATAAAACATAAATAAAATCACAACACAACAAGAATGACATGATGACATCCAAATAATAAACTCTAAAGCATTAGGCTTCCATACTGGTTGTGTGGCAGGAAGATGAACGTGCTGCCAAACTCTGYCCTATTTCTAATCTTTGTTTGCTCAAATTAGAAAAAGAAGAAGCGATTTCTTCTTTTTCCTTCTTTAAGTTCATAATTTAACAGAGGCTTTAAATGATAATATATAAGAGGAGCTGCAAAAGTAAAATGTGCCAGCAGGCAAAATTGAAAGGCATGGCTCTACGCTTAATATTATATAGCAGCAAGGCCTAGAAGCTTAGCATAATTTCAATTTAGTATACCAAAATTTAAGAAAATTTTCTTTTAAAATACCCACATTTTATACTATTGTTTTGTTTTTGTTTATTCTTTTAAATTTTTATATAGGTGTGAGGTGTAACAGAGTCCATCCACCTCATCSCAGAGCACAGAGTTAAAATTTTCAGGAATTTATTACGAATCAGCGCTCCTTTTATATTCAAATGAGCTTAGAGTGGCATTATTATGTAGAAGGGCTTTGCAGCAAATGACGTATTAAAWTTTTTTTTTAGCAGATAATAGATATGAAGAAAACCTGTCTTTTTGTGAATCATCTGCTTTAATTGACTATTAGGTTCACACATGCCTTAAAATTTTAACCCAGTAATGCCAGATTATGATTTGAAATCAAACCTCTAAAAAAAGATTACACATAGGCAAATGTAGATCTTAAAAAACACGACTCAAAGTTTAAATTTTACAACACAGAAGAAACACTCTGCACACATGTCAGGAGAATGCGTTTGTTTCCCTCATTGTCACGTTGCTAACTTTCATTATTATTCTTTCTGCAATGTTTTCACGTTGGCAGTAGCATTGATCGTCTTATTCTACCCGGATTTGTTCTCCCATCCCTCCAAAGCCATCTAAACTTGGACACGGGCTAAATGAGCAAGCCCACTCATGAATGCGTTTGCTTAATTACAATCCCTGATGGAAAACCTGCTGAGGGAGATGCCTGAACACCCTGTTGGGTGTTAGAACGGAAACCAAGGTTTGTCTGTGTGTTAGGACAGTAAGTGTGTCGGCGTGTGTTTTTCTGTCACAACAGAGTTATTCAGCACGTGCTTTGGTTTTATTAGCAGAAATGTAATTGACGTATTGAATTAGGAGTATAGAAGGCCTTGCATGGTACAAACAGGCAGTCGTTTCTGAGAAAAGAAGCAGTGGTTTAGATTGACATTCACATATTAAATCTAGGAGTTCTTTAAATATCAGCTTCAGTTAAAATAGCTTAATGCTAGGAACAAAAAAAAAACTTTAGTTATTTATAAGTGACAAGACAGGTAAAATGCTATATTTTCTCATGCTTCTCCCTCTCAACAATAAAATAAAAGAGATTCCAATTACACATTGAATGCAGAGGGACTATTATTGTACAATGTAATCTAATGTTTAACCGGTGAGACAAAAGCTTTCTGTTAATGGACTTGACTTTTTCGAAATCTTATATAAGAAGCTTCAATGTGTGAAATTTTGTGATGATTCCTGCAAAACCTTTACATTTTTAAAGGAATACATGTATATACAAAAAAAGCAAATGTCTGTACAGCATCTCTCCGGTTAACCAAACGTGTGCTGCGAACATCGCTCTACTTAAGCGAAAAAGCTTCTGGATTCTCTGAGGGAACCAGAGACTGCACATAAATTATTCAGTAGTATTTGCATTTGCATTGTAATTTGCATGCTTGTAGATTAGAGAGAATGAAGAAGGAGGCGCTGCACCAAAGAGAATTACATTCTGAACAATTTTCAGTCCTACTGGTGAGGAGATGACACAGATTTTTGTTCTATTTCCTCCTCCGCGCCGAGGTATACCGCTGAGATCAGTGACACACATTTCAAACTGTTGTTTGATTAATAAAAGAAGGAAACGATGAAAAATGCTTACCACAAAAAGGCCTGCCATTAAAAATGAATTGTGACATTGAACAAAGAGTCTGTTTGACTGACTTGGCTGAGATTTTCTTTTCTTTTTTTTTTTTACTGTAATATTCTCATCATCTTTATTCATATGTTAAAGCTTGTGATGTAGAGCTCAAACGAGCTAGTAAGCACGGAGGAGATGTCATATGGATTAAACACTAGAAATGGTGTGAAACTTTTACAGTGCACTGAAGATCCTGGCTATTATGTTTAATCTAAAAATAACAAGGCTGGAAAAGAAGACATGGGTGGGGGTGGGGGGGGGGACTGGCACCATAAAGCTCAGAGTCATAGTGCAATCCTGATGTGATGTGAAACGCCACAAGGAAAACGTACAGCGTTGATACTCTGAGCAGTTATAAATAAAATAAAATCAATGTCAAACATATGGAACAAACCTTCTGAAATAAGAACTGTTATTTAACCATAAAAAGTCTCTTGATATTGTGTAATAACATCATCCTTTTAAAATATTTCTTAGTTTTGATACATTTTTCTCTATTTCAGTTTGCTTTAACTTATTTGCCTTCATTTCCGACATCATGATTGGCAAACAACAATCACAAAATAAGTATTTTAGTACCAGAGGGCAAGATGGCATTTTGTAGCAAGGAAGTGCAGACTGATGCTCCTGCACCATGTGTGTGTGTGTGTGTGTGTGTGTGTGTGTGTGTGTGTGTGTGTGTGTGTGTGTGTGTGTGTGTGTGTGTGTGTGTGTGTGTGTGTGTGCACCTAGAGATGCTGGCACCATGCATCAAGGGGGTGGGGTAGGTATCCCTGCAATAAGAGAGGAGGGTTCAGCCAATATACTGTATGCGCATGTGCAAAAAAAAARRAARRAAAA